CCCTCAGTAACTCGATAAATTCGGTAATAACTATGTTTCATGAGTTCACATTGATTCAACTAATTAACTATCGTAATCATTAAAGTAAAAGTTTATAAATGCAGTTTGGAAAAGGATATACCTTTCCACTATGAATGATTCCATTGTTTTGTTGATAATTTAAAAGTAAAATACATTAGCTATGGCGGCGCTGCTAAAATAAACTAATTTCTAGATCATCTTATGAAACATTGCCTGGTTAAGTTTTAAATCTGTGATTACAAAACCAAAATGGGTTCACCTGTGGCGGAGGTTCCTAAAGGAATTTCCGATTTCATTACGTGGCTTCATCAGTCCAGCCCGGCCTACTTCGTGCGCCCACGACGCAGCATCTCAATTTCGAGAATAACTACTCGCCCATCGGACTACTATTACATGGAGGGACCGAGAGTGCGTGCTAGTAGTGCAGAACCGCGCTACACCACTTACACTTCAGGCGTGCGCCCAGTGACGGTGGTGGGATCGCGCTACCACCACTATACACCATACTACTACCACCGCTACTACCCACGCTACTATGCCTACGACACATACTACCCCAGCATTGCCACGTACTACGGCGACTACCCGTTCTACACCCCATCGGCGTATAAATACTGGCCCTACACCTCGAGCGCACACTACAGTCACTATTTGCCTTCTACGACTTACTACACTCGTAGCAACAGCTCGGCTTATGACTACACTCTGCCTACCTCTGGTCTGCGTGCCTCAGTCCCCTCCTGGGTACATGCGCTTGTTTTCTTTCTCCTCATTTTTATACGTTCACTTTACTGCTCTGTTTTTATCTCACACCCTCACTTCAAAGTCATGCTCGTACATGAGTGTGATGACGTGTGTATGATTGGGGAGGAGTCATATTATTAACCACGGCTGGTTCCTTGATGCATTTCAAGATTAAACCAAACAGCAGGATTTTGAAACCCTTGAAATTATTTATGAACTTTTGAACAACAGGTTGTGCTTTTGGCCTTAATTTCCGGTAGAGTGACAGAAGAAATTGCTGCACCCGGGATTTTGATAGAGCACCACAAGAGGTTTTACTGATGTTTGCACAAAGAGGGCAGTCTATGCTGGATCCACATCTCGTTGTCTAAATGGTGTTTCTTTTGTCCTCTTGATTGTAGGACATTGGCTATAGACCTCTGTCGCTGAGCCGTTGGTACTCACATAGCGATTTAGTAAGTAAATGGTTTGGATTTGCAACGAAATTGCAGCATTCCTTGAGCATGAATAGCGATGCTTTTAGTCAGCGGCTGCACTTTTATGACCCTACCTACAAAATGCATTATTTGGATATGAATGTGCCTGACATTTACCTTTCCACCACTGTTTCAGCATATTTTGTGACTGATTATTGTGTCCCGGATGTTAATCACCTAGTTGTTTGTTGGCGTTTAGCATCATGCATCCCTATATTTTCACTTATTATGTACACCGAAATACATTTATTTTATTTGTACACTGTCTCCATGTACAAAGTCCTCTTACTCAATTCAATAAATGCCTTGCCGAATCCTTCTTGATCAACCTTGTCGGGGTGAGATTCTCTCGAGAAGAGCACAGACTACGTTGCCATAGCAATCGTACTCCAACCGCCGCCTAACCAAAACGATAAGTTAGTAGAACACTTTGTTGCCATTCAGAAATCAACTTGTGACTAAATAATCCACAGGTCGACCCCCTCGTGATGCATCCACCAAGCATTTCACCGCCTCCGGTGCAGATTTACGACTATCCGCGGCATTCTGTCCACAGAATGCGTTTCGGCTCCGTTCCGCCCGTTTCTCCAGCAGCAGCAGCTCAATACCGCCGCGCTGGAAGCGTGTCTCGTGTACCGCCACCTCCCGTCAGAAGATACGTCACCCAATACTACTCCGACCTTACAGGACCAACTCCAATCAACACAAAATACGTAAGACATTCTACAAGTGTTCGTTTGATGTCTGTTACAACTTCAAGTTAGGTATCTTTGGAAACACCAGGATCATTTGGTCATCATCCTATTTTATGAGCGTATTCTAAATCAGTCTCTAATGAGCACCTATTTTGAGTGCCTTCATATTCTTTCATCTTCTGAGTAACTGTAACTATTTTGTTCAACAATTGGCGGAGAACCGAAAATACTATCGTACCTAGTTTGCCGAAACTATTGCCTTGCCTCCACTACAATAGTGAGTGATTGCGAATTAAGGCCTTTCCACAACTGCGCAGAAGAAAGAAGTATTGTTATTCAATCGCAGAAATACTTGTTATCACACAATGCTGCTGTAACTACAGTCCCACTTGTCGCCTTTTTTGACAATGAAGTGCAGCTTGGTTATGACTAGTAAAAACGAAATGTACCTTTCAGTGACTATTTAATTCAGTTAGCAGTACAATGCTGTAACCATTTTTGAAGCCTGTAACTGTTGTCTGATTTTTTGTCGAAAATCTATCCATCGGTTGCTGCGTGGATGCGAATGGTGTAGTGAATGGGAGCCTCCACTTTGTTGCAATAATGACTACATCATTCCTCACACGGTTCATTTATTTCTGTTTGGAACCTTGTCCTCTTCTGACAAAGGGAAATTGTCACTTCGAAGGAGACAAAACATGCGTAAAGACTTTGAAGTTAGGGTCGACAGCAACTTTGGAACCGGCGCGGAAGCCTTCAAAAATAATTTAGGAGTTCATTTCACGCTATTTTAGGTCTATCACAGCACCGCTGGTCTGCCTCTGAGACCTGGCTACAGGTCCCGATTCTACCGCATTCCAAATGGACCTAGCAGTTCTTTGGACAGGACAATCACTGCAGAAGTGATGGCTGAAAGGCGACGTATCGATGTAAGGTTGGACATCTTCTTATTCACAAATATCGGTCATGCCATTCTAATTGCCACAATTAAATCCAACCGGATTTTGAGTGTGATCATGAAATCCTTCAGCTCCCTTTTATGACACCACTCACTTGGAAAATGGGAACTCTGATGTGCCGTAACTTTTGATTATACTGTAGTTGCTCTCATGCCTTTTGCTTTTCCACTCCCATCATCAGTTGAAATAAGAAAAAGAGACGTGCACAGTGAAATCGTATTCACATACTGCCAACGGATCTTTCCCAGGTAAGGAAGGGATCGACGCACTCACGTGTGCACATGGTAAATTCATAAGGCCAGATCCTTGGCTTCTTGGCATCCTTCATCTCTTAATGGGATAATTTGCAAATCTAGTCAATGGGTTTTGTCTGGTACATGTCGATACCGCAAAATAGCCGACGCACTTAAGTAGTGAGACTTCCATGTAACAATGAGCCCAAGGCGAGGAATAGTGGTTTTGGAGAGACATTGACTTTGCATTAATAAAGTGGACGTAAATATTGGTCATTCTTCCTTCGCCAATTTTAAAATCAGGCGTTGTTTTTACGACAGCGTAAAATGGACGATCTTCTGTCCTACGAGCTTCCAGATGCATCTA